GGGTTTGGGATTTGGGGTTTAGGGTCAGGCATTTGGGATCCCAAACCTCCTCGCTTTAGGGTCTAGGGTTAAGGGCCCTAACCACAAGACTAACACAGGGGCCTGAAGAATCAGGGTGGGTTTGTCGTTTCTTTGTGGGGGGGGGGGGGGGGGNNGGGGGGGGGCGGAGTATATTCTTCTCTAATCATATAGCCACAAAAGGGCATACTGCTACTAGTTAGGTTTATTCCGGCCTGGTTATTATTCGAGGATCCTCAATACTTGCGACCATTGTCCGTTCGGACGAGCCCAGAGCTCCGGCATCACACGAGCCGCAACACTTGTCCCATCATGTGCGGCCGCATGTCGCGCTGGATGGCTTGTGGAAGGGAGTGCAGGCAGCATAGCCTTAGATTGCTTAGGTTTCGATTTTTTGGTCAGGCTGTGTACCTAGTTGAACGACGCCGCTGCAGGCTTGGCCCGCCCACGCGTGACTGAGGGGTGCTGGGGACTGATCCTCCAATCACCCTTGCAGTAGGTGCTTTCTCAACTTTCAAGCCTAAATCCCGAACCCTACGAAATATGCGACCCTACACCATAACTCCCTAAACCCAGTACCCTAAATCCCGATAGGAATCCCACGCACTGAATCCCAATGCTTCAACCTTGCACCCGTATAAAAGCCTCCGGGAAGACCGGTCTAGGGCCTAAGGCTTGGAGTTTAAAGTTGGTTTACGGTGCTTGATCCGGCTAAGGACGATGCTGGAAAACTATATCAAGAATGACGACCAGGCTCGAATACATGGGCTTGTGTTGGCAGATGGCTAAGTTGGGGATCGCGGGGTCTGCATTGGCAGAAGCTGCATTTTGGTCCTTGCTCGCGAACTCATCATCCAAAGTCTTTGCGTCTGTCCCGTAAACCCTGAACCCTAAACCCTAAACTAAACCCTCATACAAAGAGCCCAAGCCCTGCTTCCTCCTTATCGCTGTCTGGGCATCGCGATGATCGTGGCACCAGGAGCTCGAACGGCGCATGGACGTCTATCTCTATTTTGGCAGCCTGGTTCGAGTTTCCGAGCGGTTGAGGAGTATGTGCACGAGTTGAGCTGTAAGAAATTCCGGACCTTGAACGCAAGCTTCCTGGAAGCTTGCAGTTGGGGCATAGACATCGTACCTGTATCTACATCTAATCAAACGCATCCCAAAACCCTTACCCCAAACCGTAACCCTAAACGCTAAAACGGACATTCGGCCTGCACGCAGAGAGATGACAGGGAGACACCGAGCTTAAACCCCTAAACTCATGAACAATCTTGAACCCTAGTATATGGGCCTTAATAAATACCTGTACTATTTTGGAGGATCCTTACTATAATTTCGCGTATAATATACCCCAAACCCTATTCTATTTATTATGGCCCCTATATTCTACCCTACGACCCTGACAACGAAGCCCTGAACCCCAGAGTCCTCACACCCAGCCCCATCTCAGGCACTTTTTCCCGCGCGATGCTGTCTCTCTTCGAGATGACGCTGGCAAACTGGGCGCCGCCATCACGGGCGCTGACAGAGCAGCCGGGCTGTTTGGGGTGTAGGAATTTGAGGAGCTCGACGCGCCGTTTAAACAAGATGGGGCTCGGAATAATTGCCAACTGTTTCCAGAGCGCGTGTGTCAGTTTCTATCGATGCTTCTCCAAACCTCCCCGCAACCCCAAGCCTACCCCCTTTCATCTGTTGCAGGGCTTGACGAAAAGGTCGCGGTGCGGGTTTAACGGCACTTCGGGGGGCTTATATACACAGAAAGAAGGCTCAGGATATCAGGCGCCTACACTGTGTAGGGGTTTGAAACGTATCAGTGGGGATTCTGCGATGGAGACTAGCCACAGACCTCTTCCAACGTCCCTGGCCTCAGGAATGTCAGCGAGTTCTGGATGTTCTTCGTTCTGAGCTTTCAGCTGCTCGTCGGCTTCTCCGTCGGGGCACCCAGCGCAGAGGGGCTCGAGATTGATCCAATTAAAAAACCAAGAAAATATGACAATGTACCGCCCAGAAAACACCTGTTCAAATTATCAAGGGCCCGGTATGAGACCTATAACGCCGGATGAAATCTCGAAACCTCGGCCTTTGCCCCTTTCATGTTCTTGGGAACGGACAAGCCAAGCTCTCAGTTCGATTGCACCTTCCATAGGTTTGGAGAGGACCCTTCAACCCTAGACGAGGGGGTGATCAGGCGGAGATGGACCTACCCAACAGAATGCTCATGTCGAAATTTTCGATTGCAGCCCGAAGCTTGTTGTAACTGAGCGGAACCAACTCACCAAGTAGCAGCAGTTGCATTGGATGTGGTGAATCAGCCACAGGATTGGGTTGAGCTTTCTTGCCGGTGTTAGGTTAAACCATCTGAATGCGACAAGGCTCACCAAAGCATGCAGGCATTGTTGCGCGATGGTAGAGCCCAGAAATCCTGGTCAAAGGGTTTAGGGTTTAGGGTTTAGGCTTCGCAGACGAGAGCGCCAGCCGAAGACTTGCCCCCTTTCATGGGTTAACATAGAGGGCTGAATGATTTGCAATCATATCCTGTTATCGTGCCGTTTTGTGAGAACTCGATATGAAATTGCCCGATGCCGCCAACTATCAAGGATTAAGCGCCATCCTGTTAAGAACATCGGAGCTTTTCTGCTTCACACACTTTGCCTTTGCGCTTTTGGCTCCTGTCTGCTTCTTGGTATTTCGGTATCGCAGGCGCAGTAACCCCTAGAGCAACCCTTAAAGGTACCCAGTATGAAGAAACTTTGCAAGGAACCGACAGTCAGGATAATTAGGAGTCCCTTCTGACAAGTTTTGCAGCTTACGGTCTGGGATGAATTGGAGGTCCGAGCCAGGGAATGACCCAAGTGGACCGCAAGGAGAAAAAGCAGTAGTTTAGTCCTGTCGTATAGCTTTCCATCCTGTGAAGTCCAAACTCCTTCTGAGTGGGGTGGTCGGGCATAGGGAGCCGAATTGTGGATGAGGTGATGAAAGTCATCATGGGCGTGTTCCTGCAAGTGACCTTCTATGTCGCCTCCAACGACGACGTGATCATGATGAGCCAGAAAGAAAGGCGAGCATGCCACAAACCAGGTAACGTAGAGGCATTAAACGACTGTAGCCCATTCTGCTAGGAATTCTTCCATGGATCTGGCAGGTTTAGTGCAGTTGTCCCAGGTTTCGGGTGGCCCCAAAGAGAGGTCTGACCGAGGTCCAAAGACTTGTGGCCAGACCAACAAAACCGACAAATCCTGACCCCTAAACCCTAAACCCCAACCCTTAAACCATAAACAGCTTGTGAAAGCGGGCCCAGAGATTGCTTTTGAGATCCGGAGTTGCCGACTGCACTTTCGAGGCAACCCTGAAGACTACACAGCCCCCAACTCCGAGCTCCCTTAATTTGGGTTCCATAGCAGAGATCCATAGTAGGTGTTCTTATTATGTTAACGTACACTAAGTTCCTGCACAAAAACCCAGAGAATGGAATCCTCCACCCTACAGCTTCGATGCCCCATAGCCCATGCTGGTCAGGGCGCTCAAAGTACACACGCAGAAGATGACGGAGCTGTTTGTGGCTGCGGACGAAAATGGCAACGGAAGACTCGATCAGGCCAGTTCCACCTTTTCGCACGGAGATGGTCATGGCTTTGAGGGTAATATGGGGGCCTAAATGACTGCCAATACTATTCTTGGGTTCCTCTGTATACTGAAACACCAGTACCAGTAGTATAATTCTACTGTTATGGTTCAGGCCCTAAACACGAAACCCTAATCATTCGAAGGTTCGATTCGGATTTCGGATCCTTAACAACCCGAAGCCCTGAACTGCAAGCTTTCAGACCCTGTTGTGGAGTTTAGGGTTTAGGGTTTAGGGCCTTCGGGTTTAGGGTTTTAGGGTTTAGGGCTTTGGGTTAATGGTTTTAGGGTGTCCGGTAACTTTGTTCCGACGATGCCGGTCCGGTATGCGCGTCAGAGGAGCTTTCTAGAAGTGATGGAGAGTGGGAGTTTGGGCTTTTTGGCTTTGTTGTCCGTAAACCCTAGACCCCAGAGGCCCCAGAGACATGAAATTTCGGCTTCCTGGAGCTTAGACCAGGTGAAGCAGGCAGTTACGGCAATCGCGAGAACAACTAGTTGCGTTTGTCTTCAAGGGTTGATCTTTCCTCGACAGCACCTATCTGGAATGTCGCCTCCCACACCCTGAGCCCTGAACCTCAAAGACACCCCAAAGCCCTGAAGCTCACCAAGATAGCTTGCAGGAAGCCGGGAAGCCTTAATTTCACACTCTGAACCCCCCAAAGTCTCTTGGGTCCGGCAGCCCTGTCTCAAGAAGTCTAACACCTTATGTTACTTAGGGTCTCTACATTCTTAAGGCTCCAAGATGGGCTCGCACATGATTCCATAGAGGTCCACAGTCTTATGCTAAACGCATGCTGCGCCCAAGTAACTTGAGGCCCCTTTCGTAAAGTTCCAGGATGAGTTCGAGACATTCTTCCTTAGGCCACCCGTCTGTAATGCTCCAGGATGAGTTCGAGACCATCATCAGCGATCCCACCTGCATTGCCTGGCTATCGGCCATGGGTTTCGAGACTTCGATGCTCTCGGGGCAGGCCCGAGGTTTAGAGGGGTTGATGGGGTTTGCGTTCTTTGAGGTTTAAGGTTTACATAGGGTTTAGGGATAGGGCTTGGGACGTGGGGCTAGGTTTACTTCGGGGTCGAAGCGGCAAAGGCACAGCACAGTTCAATGCACCAGTATCTGCGAAACATGGAGATCTCGCATCCCATGCTGAGCAGGCGTTTTTGCAGAAACTCCCAATGTCTGTGCACAACATCGATCAGCGAGAAGCCCAATTCGGAGTACGACGGGCATCTAGCAACATCCCCAGAGCTGTGCATGAACAGGTTCACGATTTCAGGTTAAGTAGAAGTGTGGTATCCGGCTTCAGGTTACGTCGGCAAATATCGACTCGCGATTAGGGTCATGTCGTGTCTACACAAGTGGAACCCTGTCCGCAATGCCCCAGTCTGGGCGTTTAGATCGAAACCTTCTGATGCGCAGCCTTTTTTGTTTAGTTGTCACCGGTGCTTCTCCATGCTCTTGTCAAGGCGTTGTTGATGCCACCCATGTGAAGCGCCTAGTATGGGATGCTTCATTTCTGTGCATGGCTATACATATTCACAATGATCTTTCATAATCGTGAACGTTGTGATCTCCCTCATCGTCTTAATCACCAGCATGAGCATCGCCGTTCCCTCGCATCACCAGCATCAACCTGACGGTTCTTCGGTTGTTCGAGTGCAGCCAGATTTGAGAGTTTCAGAAAATGAGGGACCCTGATATAGGACCCCAAATGGATCCTTATTACAAGGGCCCGAAAATAAGGTTCCCTAGTTTTCTGAAATACCCATCTTCGGTCTTCTGGACAGGCTCTGCTCTGCATCACACATGGACATGAGCCACGTTGCGCAGCATCTTGCCGCGTTTCGGCTCGGCGTCCGTTGCATGCATGCTCATCCGGAAGCCCTCAAGCCGTGAGCCGTAGACCGTGAAGCCGTTTCGCTGTCAACCCTGGCACTCTATGCCTCCGAACAACAATCCGAAGAAACCTGCACTGCATGGACGATGCCAACACATGAACTTCAGACAACAGTCCTGTTGTATGCTGTGTCCCTACGTCAGTACCGTAACCTTATACAGTGCCCTAGCAAAACTTTACCTTCTTCTTACTTCAAGCCTAAAACCACACCCTAAGCTCCACCTCAGCCCCAAAACTAAACATGCTACACCCTGAACCCTAAACCCTGAGCAAAACTAAATATGGGCCACCGGGAAGTGGATGGACATCGGGTGGCCTACAGGACCTGGGGTTCTGTCGAGGCACCTGTCGCCGTAGTCTTCCTCCATGGGCTCCTTAATTTGTTTAGGCTTTAGGGGTTTCAGGGTTTCGGGTTTAGGGGGTTGGGGGTTTTCGAGTTTAGGGCGTTTAGGGTTTAGGGTTTGTCCTTCAGGGGCTCCTCGAGGGCAGTATGTTCAGGGTGTCTTTCTGCGAGATTCTTTTCTCTTCGTGAGAGCAGTCAAGGTTCGGTGGAGACAGGCATCAATTCGCTTTCCAGGCGCAAGCAGCAACCGATGCCGGTGCCGAGAGTCTCGCTGTGGATTTGACCAGCTTGACTGAGGGAGGATCCTTCCGAGAAATCTGGGTCGAGAGATCTGTCCGCTCGGCTCAGCGCCGCAATGTCCTGCAGGTGGTGGACCATGCCTCTTGGTTTGCCCGCGGCAGGCCGTTCGTCCTCGTTGGGCACAGCGCCGGCGGCGGCATAGCACTCGAGAGCGCGGTGGAGCTGCAGCAATCTGGAAAGGCTCCCCTGGCAGTTCTCCTGCTGGATGGTGTAGGATGGCCAGCAACAGATGAGGTGGCGAGCAAGTTCAATGCAGTGGACACCCGCCTGTTGCTTACATGCAGAAGTTTTGGACTAAGCTTCCTGCATCCAGGGTGGAATGGAGTTGCAAGGTCCAGCGTGCGTGGCGGTTATAACAGAATCTTAAGATGAAGACGCCTCTTCCGAATTGCAGTGGGATCTTCAGAAAGCTCCAAGATTGATCAACTGAGGCTTTCTATCAGAGCAGAGCCCTCTGCTTGGAATAAGAACGGATGCATCGAGCAGACGATACGCTGCATCCCCACTGCTGGGGTGCCCAGCGGCCACTTGCTGGATGTGAAGGTCCGTATCATGAAGCTGAAACCGTGAGCCTTCAGACTCCTAAACCCTGAGTCTTAAACCCGAACCCCAAACCCTGAACCTGAAGGTTCATGGAGCTAAACATGGAGATCCGATTGCACTGAAGGGCTGGATGTATGGCCTCTTGGGATTGGTAGGCACCTCGGAGGCCCGAGATGTACTGGACCGCTTGGTCAAAGCCTTCCTATGCCAACTGCTCCATGACACAGCGGCCCGTGATCCTTGCGGAACCGCTTCGAGATCTTTTCTGGCAGAGCTGCAGCAGTTGCAAGACTTCGGGAGCGGCTCCGTGGTCGATCTGGCGCCTACAGAGCCTGGCTAGACAAAGCGGCCTTCCTGCCCATCCAGCAAACAAGATCTCGCGAGACGGCTTGCAAGACAAAAGGGCATTCAACAGGCCGCTTGTGCGCTTAGAGTCCGATCCACGAAGCCGAAATTTGAGGTTTATGGTTCAGGGTGCTTGGAAGCACGTGTCATGGAGGATCCTTGCCAGGGCCTCTGCTAATGATGCGACATGACTCGAGTCCCCAGTTAGGTGCGAAGCTGGGCCGATTCATCTCACCAAGGATACCTACGCTGGTTTTGAGGTAGCAGCATTGTTACAGCCCTTGGTTTGAGGTCTCCAAACCCTCAGCCCTAAACCGTCTCGTTGTGTAGCACTGTGGGTGCTTGCGGTGGCAGGATCTCTACCGGCTACTTTGCGCAGAGGGCACCAATGACCTGTCGGCAGAGGCCCCACCGGAACTGTACTTCGGGACGCAGGCTTTGGGGCTTGGTGTCGCAGATTCTGGTACGGATATTATGACAACTAAGGGTGTACACGTGCAGAATTGGGAAGAAGGCTGGGGTTCAGACGCTTGTGACTTCGGTGCTTTAGAGGCACCCGACTCCCGAACGGCCCACAGCTGCTGGGACCTGAACTACTCGAGCCAATCCTGCTCCCCTACAACCCCGGAAACACGGAATTCGCCTTGCAGGAGCTCTGCAAAGGCGTCGCCGAGCTCAAGGGACCTGCCCCATGTCTGGGAAAGAGGAGCGGATTGAGATTTGTGGGCAGAGGTGCTGCACAAATTCTTGGGGAGTCTCGACCCCCTAGATCCTAAGCCCTAAACTCTTAAGCCCTCAACCACTAAACCCCTAAACCTTTTAACCCTAAACTCTAAAACCCAAACCCCTAAACCCTAAATCCTTTAATTTTTAGGGCTTAGAGTTTAAGGAATCTCTAGACCCCAAACCCTGCTCTCTCTGAAAGTGAAGCGAAGTTCCTACACTCGGTTCTGTCAAGCGCTCCCAAAGGTTCAGCCAGCTATGCCAAAGCCCGTGCCTTCAGCCCTCCAACCTTAGGGATACTTGGAATTGTTTGTTTAAAATTAATTCTTGGTTACTACAGAACCCCGAAGAAGCAGCACAAAGCTACGAATGTAGCAAGGGTAGCAAGTTCAGTAGCTAACTCCTGGATGTGAAGCCCTGCTGCCTCAAAAATACACCGCAGCTCCGAGGCGACCAGCTTAAACCTGGCACTTCTTCAGAAAGACCAAGTTGCGACCAAGGACCGGTTTAGGGCCTCAAAAAGCGATCCATTCTACTTTCTAATGCCCCTAGAGGATAGAATCGGGTTTAGGGCTATCCATCCATCCGTCCATCCTTCCATCCATCCATGCATTCTTTCATTCTACCTATCTGTCTACCTATCTATTTACCTAGCTATCTACCTATCTATCTACCTATCTATCTACCTATCTACCTATCTATCTATCCATCCATCCATCCACCCAGCCATCCATCCATCCATCTATCTATCTATCTATCTATCTATCTATCTGGCTATCTTCCTTTCTGTCCATCTGCTTCGTGTTCTCTCTATTTCTCTATCTCGCCATCTCTCCATCGCTATTCATCTCTATCTCTCTCTGTTTTCCACACCTACAGTTAAACTGCGATATGGCATGGGTAGCCCGGTTCCTACAAGCAATCACGTGTGAGGATTATGTGAGGTCTTGGAGGGTTTGGGTTGGATCGCCCACTGCGGTTTTACAGCCTTCTGCCCTAAACCCTGAACCTGCGGCTTCTTCCATTAGGGTTTAGGGTTTACGGTTTCGGTT